AGCCAAGGGTTGGATTTAGGAGCTAATTATTGTACAGAAAATATCATTAAATCCACATAGTATAAAATATTAAGTAGGCTTTAATAACCTATTGGACAGGAACTGACTCTGGCACTCTCTGTCAGTCAGTAATCAACCTCCAGTCCTGAGCTCTCTCTGTGCATGATAAAAGCTTAAGAGAAAAGAAGAGAGACAGTTTTTCCCTTGGGGGAAGTCCAGTCCAACAGAGGAGACATGAGCATAAGAAATACCACAATCAAGGGCCAGCCCTGTGGCCGAGTGGTTAAGTTCGCGCCCTCCACTTCGGCAGCCCAGGGTTTTCCCGGTTCGGATCCTGGGCGCGGACATGGCACCACTTATCAGGCCACGCTGAGGTGGCGTCCCACATGGCACAACTAGAGGCACTCACAACTGAAATATACAATTACGTACTGGGCCTGGGAGGGCTTTGGAGAGAAGAAGAAAAAGAAGAAGAAAAGGAAGATTGGCAACAATTGCTAGCTCAGGTGCCAATCTTTACAAAAAAAAAAAAAAAGAAAGAAATACCACAATCAGACCCATGGTCCTCCAGAGAACGTGTGAGGGAGTGTGGTTGTCCTCCATTATGTCAACTATGTGTTTGGGATGAATTTCCAAACATTGCAAACATTTCCTTAATAACTTGCTGCGTATCTGTCATCTGTGAATGTATTATGAGACTATCTGTATTCTCATCTATATAAAGCAAGTTAATAATTTTATTTTATCCTTATTTGGTCCTCACAAGAACCTGTGAGATGGGTCGGGCACGTATTTTTCATTTGACAGATGAGAAGGCTGTGGCCCGAGTAGGTTAAATGTCTTACGTAGGATCACTCAGGTAATTCAGTTTGGAAGTAGGACTACAACCAGGCTCTATTATGAGGATCAAATGAGATAATGGCTCTGGAACCATTGGAAAAGTATAAAATGGCACACAAATGTAAGATGACTGTTATTATTAATTATGCTTACTGACCAGCTAGCCTCTTTTTTCTGAGTTTCTGTTTTCAGTCTTTATCCTTTTAGGGTGAAAATCCTGTACATTGGTTGCCTTTTATGTTCCCAAATGATCTTTTTTCAGCTTCAAGGGGGTCCTTTCCTACTAATAGTATTCTAGGATTTGTTGTCTTCCTTTTCAGTTCCAAAAGGTGTTCTCATTATTTATACTCCCATGGGACTCCTGTTCCCTTTAGTTGTCCTCTAGAACACCCATTATATCTTCCTTGAGGTACAACAGGCAAAACCAGCCACTGTCCTTCAGCACCTTAGCTTAGCCAAGGGAAAGTAATGCATTTTGTTTATTTCCATTTCCTTTCATGGTGATGCCCATCGCTTGTCAGCCTTTCTAGTCACTCTAATAAATAAGATTTGTGTTTTGAGGAGGTAATTTTCAGTAATCCAAGGTGTCTTTCCTATGTGGTAACAGATAGCAAGAGCTCTGTAATAATAGGATGTCAGAGCTGGGAAGCATCTTAAAGAGATCATCTGGTGATTCTAGTTCAACTTGAATGACATTTTACAGTTAAGGACTCATTCTCTCATCTCCCGAGGCAGGGAGATAGTTTCTAGTGTTTTAAGGAAGAGCTCACAGGACATTAATGTTAATATCCTGAAGAATGTTTATTTTATATTAATCTGTTTTTTAAACAAAACCTGCAACTCAGCTCAGTCCTCATTCTACAGCCCAGAGGTCAGGCTTCGTTTCATACTCATGATTTTTCTGTGAAGGAGAGACCGTGGCACCTCAGGAGGTAGTGAGAGCTGAGAACCATGCTCTGCAGACCTGGAAGATGAAAATTAGATGGAATATAAACTGTTGAAATAAGTGGGCATTTAATTATGTTCAAATAACATTAGAAATAATAGAATTCTGCTAAGTGCAGATCACGGCTTCTCTCTCTGATCAGAGTTAACTGAATGCTGGATTTGGAGGGTGATGCTGAGATCAGTCTTTCATTTTGTAAGTGTACAATGTATTATTTTTATCTTAATCACCCGCATTGAAACTCCTCTTTTGTATTTCTACTCACAGAGCCTTATGAGACCTTATAGTTTATTCTCATCGACTTCTTTTCTCAGGCGTCTCAGCCAGAAGCAGGGATGCAGGATGAAGATAAGCTATACAGCAACAGTTTTGTAATAGAGCAAGAGCAAATACATAAACATACATATTTGACTACATGGTGGTAACTAAATGGAAGGGAGCAAGTCAGTGTATATGGATGTGGGCATTTGTTTCTTAATATGGCCATTGGTCTGTCCTCCCAGACATTTCATCAATGCATTTTTAAGACAAACCATGGTGTTTTCGGGCAAAAGCTTCATGATTACATGTCATTGAGTTGCACTCTATCAGGTTCACATTCTTTCTTTATCCTTAGCACACTCTCTAATTCTGCATAGACTAGTGATTCACAAACTTTCTGAAGTTGCAACACTCTGCCATTCTTGTTTTTCTTTTGTCACACAACTTCCCCCTGTACTTCCTAAACGTATTTTGTGATAGAGGAGTCAAATATTTTTTAAGACTATTATATTTTTTAAATGAATAAAAATTAGGAGCTGAGAATTTTCTGACACCCATTGCTCATTAGAGATCTCCCAGAGTATTGCAAAACCTAGATAGAGAATCACTGACTTAGAAAAACAATTGAAAGGAGTAAGCGATACAATCGAGTTTAGAAATACTCCATAGGTACAGTTGGCAGTATAGTATAGTGATTAACTGTTCACACTTTGGAGTCAGACCTGGGTTTTTTTTTAATTGAGATATAGTTCACATATCGTAAAATTCACCATTTTAAAGTGTACAATTCAGTGGTTTTTAGTATATTCACAAAGTTGTGCAACCATCGCCACTGTCTAATTCCTGAACATTTTCGTCATCCCCAAAAGAAACCCCATTCCCATTAGCAGTCACTCCTCATCCCTCCCTTCCCCCAGCCCTTGGCAGCCACCCATCTACTTTCTATTCTTATGGATTTCGTATAAAGAGAATCATATAATTTTTAGCGTTTTGTGACTGGCTTCTTTCACTTATAATGTTTTCAGAGCTCATTCATGTTATAGGATGTATCAGTACTTCATTCCTTTTTCTCAATGAATAACATTCCATTGTATGGATATACCACATTTGTTTATCCCTTCATCAGTTGATGGACGTTTGGGTTGTTTCCACCATTTGGCTATTATGAATAATGCTGCTGTGAACATTTGTGAACAAGTTTTTGAGTGAGCACATCTTCAGTTCTTCTTGATCACATGATAACTCTACATTGAACCATTTAGGGAACTGCCAGACTATTTCCTAAAGCAGCTGCATCATTTTACATTCCCACCAGCAAAGTATGAGGGTTCCAATTTCTCCACATCTTGGCTGGAATTTGCTATTTTTTAAAAATTATAGTCATCCTAGTGGATGTGAAGTAGTATTGTAGCCATCCTGGTGAGTATGAAGTCGTATCTCAATGAGGTTTTGATTTGCATTTCCCTAATGGCTAATGATGTTAAGTATTATCTTTTTATATGCTTAGTAATCACTTATTTGTATATCTTCTCTGCAGAAATGTCTACTCAAATCTTTTGCCCTTTTTTTTTTTGGTAATAAATATTGGCCCTGAGCTAACATCTGTTGCTAGTCTTCCTCTATTTTGTATGTGGGACACTGCCACAGCATTGCTTGATGAGCGGTGCATAGGTCCATGCCTGGGATCCATACCCGTTAACCCCGCCACGCTGCCAAAGCAGAGCATGCGAACCTAACCACTGTGCAACCAGGCCAGCCCCTCTTTTTCCCGCTTTTAATTGTTTTTTTTCTGTCTTTTTATTGTTGAGTTGTAAGAGTTTTGTATATTTCTAGATGCGAGACCCATATCACATAAATGCCTTGCAAATATTTTATTCCATTCTGTGAGCTGTCTTTTCACTTTCTTGATGGTATCATTTGCAGCACAGAAGTTTTAAATATTGATGAAGCCCAATTTATCTATTTTTTTTATTTGCTTGTGCGTTTGGTGTCATCTAAGAAACCATTGCCTAACCTAAGTTTCCAAACATACACCTGTGTTTCCTTCTAAGACTTTATAGTTTCCACATTTACATTTAGGTTATTGGTCCATTTTGAGTTAATTTTTATATATGGTATGGGGTAGGGCTCTAACTTCATCCTTTTGCATAGGGATATCCAGTTGTCCTAGCACCATTTGTTGAGAAGATTATTCTTTCCACATTGAATGGTCTTGGAATCCTTGCCAAAAGTCAATTAGCCATAAATATATGAGTATATGAGTTTATTTCTGGACTCCTGGTTTTATTCTGGGTTTGAATCTTACCTTTGCTGCTTGCAAACATATGTGACCCTGGACAAGTTACCTTTTATTGGGGGGGGTAATAATCGTACCTACCATTTAGAAGGTTGTTGTGAAAATTAAATGAGACAATGCATGTAAAGGGTATTATTTAGTGCCTGGCATATAGCAAATTCACATTAAAATTTTAAGGAGAAAGGTCCTTAGATAATCAGGGAGGTAGGGAAAATGGGAGATAATTGAAAGGATTCTGAAATATAAGGTGTGATTGGAACAAGGTGGCCTCATAAATGAGACATGAGATGAACAGATGTTTGAAGAAGTTGAAAAAATATTCAGTTTCCTAAAATTGGCTAAAGCAGTTACTACATGATGATAAAATAGTACAGAATAGAAACAGTATAAAAAAGTTACCTACCATAGGGGCTGGCCCCGTGGCCGAGTGGTTGGGTTCGCGCACTCCGCTGCAGGTGGCCCAGTGTTTCATTGGTTCGAATCCTGGGCGCGGACATGGCACTGCTCATCAAACCACGCTGAGGCAGCGTCCCACATGCCACAACTAGAAGGACCCACAACGAAGAATATAATACAGCTATGTACCTGGGGGGCTTTGAGGGGAAAAAGGAAAAAAAATAAAATCTTTAAAAAAAAAAGTTACCTACCATAAGCAACAGACTGTAGCCATCTTATATTAGCCTTTATAGAGCTGAAATCAGTTAAGATAGGCTATTTTAGAGCATTAGAGTTTGACTTTTTTTCCATCTTAGACTCTTTTGAGAATGTTTTGAAAGCTATGGACAGTCCTCTCTCCATGAAAATGCATATATGACATATACACAACATTCTTGAAACAGTTCAAGGAAGTTCAGAATTTCCTGGTTAAAAGTCCTATTTTGACCCTCTCCAAGGCAACGCTGACCAATAGCATGCTTTCCCAAGTTTAATTTCGTAGTAAGGTTCAAGTGTCACACTTAGTAGGGAACAATTTTTAGCATTCCAGGGAAATTTGGAGAGCTTTTCCTCTGTACAGAAGGGTTTATACGGCACCCTGCTAAGACTTAGAAGGGCTGTGGTACTCTGTTTTTTTAGAGGTTTCAACACATAGACGTCTTTCAGCAATGCTCCTGACCAACTGTCATTTTGGCGGGAGGCCTCACTCTGTTCTCCCAGGTAGCTTCTAACACAGACATTGAGGAATGCAGACATGCATTTCTGGACGAGATAGCAGTAGAAATGCAGTGTGAGGTGGAGATGGGCCTAGAAGAAAAAGATATGATTCTGGAAGGGACTCAGAATGAGAGGCAGATTCAGAGAAAACTCAGAGGGACACGGAGACCAAAATAGAAGCGGAAACATGCTGTTTAGAAACCCTCTTGTAAATAGTCAAGATAAACTTCAGTGAAGGAGGTGAGATGATTGAAATAAAGGTGTAGGGGAAAGAGCACAGGCATTGGCATTAGACTGACCCAGTGCTCTGGGTGTGTACATTCCAGGTTGATTTACTTAACAGTGCTGAACCCCAATTTCCTAACTATAATATGGGTATAGTAGTAGTACCTTCCTTATAGGCTTCCTGATAGAATTTAATGAAATAATGTGTGTAAATTGCTTAACATAGTACTCAGAATACAGGAGGTGCTCAGTAAATCCTAGGTCCCTTCTTCTAACTTCTAGTTTAAGGGGTCCTTCATTTAACAGTTAGTGAATACCTAGTATGTGTGAGGCACTGCACTGTGAATAAAAATATGAAATAGCTGATGCCCTTCAAGGAGCAGGGAGAGATAGCTGGAGACACAGATGTGTAAATGAAATAAAACAGAATGTTCTAGAAGCCACGACTGAGGTGATAAACATGTAAATGAAAGAACTCCTAGGTTTCTAGACTTGGATGATGTTATCCACCAGATAGGGAAAATTGGAAGAGGAGCAAATGTTTTGTTTTTTGGGAGGAGGGGAGAATAACAAGTTCATTTATGGACATGTTGAATTTGAGCGTCTGAGGGATAGCAGGTGAAGCTATGAAAGGTAATATTCCTGCCTTGAGTGGAAGTTGGCATCTGTCATCTCGAAAGTCTCTTCCAATTCTAAGATTCTATGATATATGTGCATTTTAATTGTTTCACTTTTTCATCTCTATAGGTGAATGCTGATAGATGTTATAAGCTACAAAATACTAGCCAACAATTTTCAAGCACTTGTAAATTGTAAAATAAGAATACCACAAGTCTCATCTTTAAAAAAGTGGTTATACAAACATCTGAACTTATCAAACGAACCGAGAGTGACTGTTTTACAAAAAGATTTTTCACTTTTACGGCTCAGTTTCCTATAGTTTCCATTAAATAGCTGGTTAGTTCAATGCACTTAAAAGGTTTGATTTAAAAACACCTTTTTGGGATACATCTATTGTACTTATGCACAAGGTATAATTGTACTCAATAGGTTAAGTATCCTGTGAGAGGGCTATGCAGATATCACTGATAGATGACAAAATCTGAGCAAATATCAATGGCAGAAGCAAATTTTCAAGCCCTGATGAGGTTCTCCAATGATAGTGAGATGATGAACAAAAGCTACTCAAAAGCAAAAGATGCCTTTCTCTTTCATGTGAATAAGATTAACATTTACAGTCAATAAGATAAATTTTCTATTTTTCCTTAGTTAAGCCTAGCTTAGAATATTTATGGGTGTTGATTTTAATTAATGGAAGACCCATGGCAATAAGTATCTCTATGTTCAGCTCAGAAATGTCTGTGAAAGAAGAGATAGATTGACCAAGAGATTAGTTTCTTATTCATTAGGTGACTTATTTTACTCTGATGCACGTACTAAAATAAAGGTTAACAGGTCTGAAAATTTCTGCCTCCCCACCTTGCTAATTTATACCTAGATCTTGATTTGCATCTTGTTATATTTTAGGAAGTATGAAAAGATGCATGGGGGGGCTGGGCTTCATAGTAGGCTTGTGCTAGCTCAGCGGGTGTTTAATAATAAAATCAAACTGAAGCCACGAGGTAATATGTCTTCATTATTGATCAGCAACTATTTCTGAGAAAGTTGAAATCATTTCTCATTCAGATTGATGAAGAGTTTTCTGAAGGTGAGGGAAGAAAGTGAAAGTGAAAACTATCATCTTTTGTCTGTGGTAACTCAGTTTACTGGAAATGGGATGGAACAGAAATTTCCATGTGTGGTAATGGGAAGTAATTCAAGTTCACATTCTGAAGAACTTATTATCCTGCACCAAGAACTACATTTTTCTAAAGTTCTCTCCTCTTTTTTATGCAGGCTCCAAGAATGGAATCCTTTCAAGAACTAGGGAGTTAGTTTGAAATATGGCCTTGTTTTCCTTCCACTCGATGTGAAATAGGAGCAGCTCTTATATTTTACTTTGAAGTAAAATAGAAAACAATATTGGAGAATGGAGATAGAGAATTTTGCAGGGCCTCAGGTTCATCATAGTCCAGGACAAGAGAGGTCAGTGGAGAATATGCGAGAGAATGATCCATGCCAGTGTCGTGAGCTGGCATAGTAATGTTAATCAGTAAACCAGGATTCAGATATGGCCACTGGGTTCTATTTATTAGTGCAGGAAAAGAAACTCAGGCATTGGTCAAAAACAAGGTTTGAAGGGGAAGAAAATCTTTCTCATTAATTCCCAAATCACTTTCCTATTGCCCCAGCGTCCCTGGGGAATCCAGCATGGAAAGCCTCCGTTGGTTAGTGTACAATTACGCCATATCCACGTTTCCTTTGGAAATGCTTAATGACTCTTGCTTTGTATTCTTTGCAGGTGAAAGCCCAGCCTCTGCGGTTCTTAATGCCTCAGCAGGATTATTTTCACTAAAGATGGAAACACTGGAGTCTGAATTGACCTGTCCAATCTGCCTAGAGTTGTTTGAAGACCCCCTTCTGCTCCCTTGTGCTCATAGCCTCTGCTTCAGCTGTGCCCATCGCATCTTGGTCTCGAACTGCAGCTCTGGTGAATCCATTGAACCCATTACTGCTTTTCAGTGTCCTACGTGTAGGTATGTTATCTCACTGAACCACCGCGGCCTGGATGGCCTCAAGAGGAATGTGACTCTGCAGAACATTATTGACCGCTTCCAGAAGGCTTCAGTCAGTGGGCCCAATTCCCCAAGTGAGAGCCGCCGGGAGAGGACTTACAGGCCCAGCACCGCCATGTCTAGTGAGCGTATTGCTTGCCAATTCTGTGAGCAGGACCCGCCAAGGGATGCAGTGAAAACATGCATCACCTGTGAGGTCTCCTACTGTGACCGTTGCCTGCGGGCCACACACCCCAACAAGAAACCTTTCACCAGCCATCGCCTGGTGGAACCAGTGCCAGACACACATCTTCGAGGGATCACCTGCCTGGACCATGAGAATGAGAAAGTGAACATGTATTGTGTATCTGATGACCAATTGATCTGTGCCTTATGCAAACTGGTGGGGCGTCACCGAGACCATCAGGTCGCATCCCTGAATGATCGATTTGAGAAACTCAAGGTAAGGGATCTGGGAGATATCCCTTACACAACCTTGTCTCTTTATACTGTTATACAGTTAGCGAGTTTTCTGATAAAACAGGCCGCTTTTCCTATCTGAGGAGCAAATTAACTCCAAGTTGTTCTCATAAGGAAGAACCTACTGACCTGCAAGCTCTCACTGGAACCTATTTCATCTGTTGCATAAACCTGCTTGCATTCATTCACCTCTGGCAATTCTGGGGGAGTTAGGCCCTGGCCCGTCACACCAGTAGTCTGTCCAGGGAAACAGCACCCTGTCTCCTCTGTCAGTGACATACTGCACACTACATATCTTTGCCATGATCTTTCCACCTCTTCTTTTAAGTATGTGAGTACCTGTGTAGGTGTACTATCATTAGCATATGTGCTGATTTGCATATGTATGCGTATAGCAATGGGAAGGATAGGTGTGTCTCTGTGTAGGTGTGGGTGGAGGTGTCTGAGTGTGTCTATGTAGGTGAGAGATTTTTTGGGGGGACAGTAGTGTATGTGTTTGCACACTCAGTATGCTAAAGAAACAAAAATTTGGCATTGGCCACTACAAATTGCCATTAAGCTTTTAACACCAGCTAATTCTAAGCCTCCCTTAAAAAACAAGACAAACAAACAGTCAAGAAAAGAACTTAAGTGTGCCACAAAGTCAGGAGGGATCTTCAAATATCTGAACTAAGAATTTAAACTGAAGGCAATGAATATTTAATCCAGTCTCAGATTTTGTGCCAGTGTTCGTTTTTGTGGGTTACAGACTGAAGCACCTGTTTGCGGGCCCTGCTTTGGAAGTTCCTAGTCTTTCATTTGTGTTCAGTGGACGGAGTTTTGCGAAGCTGTTGTGCCATGTAATATTTGTGTGCAAACCTAAGTGCCTGTTTTTTAAAGCCCCACTATCTCACGTTGATGTTAATAAATGTCAGATCCAGTAAATTGTTTTATTCCCATTGCCTGCCTGCTATATGGTTTCACTGCTCTTAAGAAGGGAGCTACTTAACAGAAATTAGAGAAAATAAAATTTTTAAATGAATAATAAGATTATCACCCCAAAATAGGGCCTCGATATACAAGGCAAGCTGGAAAGAAGACCCAGATAGGATGGAAAGAGGGCAAGAAGAGAGCGGAGATTTTCCTCTTGCCATGCTCTGGAAAAGTCGTTGTGACTTACGTAAAAATCATGATGCTGGTGAAGGTAGCAATACTCAGAAAACATTTTCCCTTTTGTCATTTATTGGAAGCAATATTGAGAGTAGTCACACTGACAATTATTTGCCTTTTTTGATTACTTATATCTAATATTTATAAATTTGTAGAAAGTTCAATATTAGTTTCACTAAAGGTGATACTCTCATTCATATCGAGACTGCAGAGAGGAATAATTTCATTGACTTCAATGCTTAGAATCATAAGATGTTAGGCCTTGGACTTCGTCTAGTTGAAGCCCTACACTTTAAAGTGGTATACACTGAGACTTTGGTAGGTTGAGTGATTTGGTCAAAGCCACAGAATTGGAACTGGAACTCAGCTTCTAGATCTTGAGTTAAGTATCCTTTCTACTGTATCCTCCTGCCACTTTGTTTTGGATCTAAGTTTTCCCCATGAAATGTGATTTGAAACTTAACTTTTATGCTCCAGCAACTGCACATTTCATGGGTCACAGATAAACCATTAACAACATCAAGGAAAGGACATATTGTATAAACTTAGAGCTTCATAATGGCAAGAGATGGGGGTGGGGTTGCAGGAAGAGTGGGGGAGATGGAGAGGACAGAACAATCTCTGCCAAATATTTGCAGGTGTTGGAACTATAATAAGGCATTGGCCTTGAGAAATATTCCAAACAGAAAAATCTGTATCCATATGTACTATTGAGATAACAAACGACTGGATAGGATAAGCCTGTATCTACAGAACACCAGCTTTTTGAAAACATCCGAAAACATGAAAACATTGGATGATTGATTAGATATTTGGCATCGCACAGCTATAGCCCTTGTCTCCAGGGATGGATGGAGCACAAAAGTATTTTACCAAAAAATACTTTAGTCTGTAACTAATCAGTAATTTTTGGAGAAAGAAAGGCCAGAGTTTGAATCGTTCCCCTTTAATTTTTTAGGAACTGTGCAGAAAATTCTGATTATAAATTAAGTGGAAACTTCTTTTGCTCATTTTTGGACGGAGAGTGGAAACGTATGAATCATTCTCAACCATGTGGTTTGTTATGTTGTCTGGAACATCTTGGACTTTTGGGAGGGAGAGGGAGGTGCTGCCTCTGTGTGTGGGGAGGGTTGGGGGGGCCACTTTGGTTTGGTGCCAAGTGTAGAAGGATATTAGTTCTCCACGTTAAGCAGAGAGGAAGTCTGATCTTTAGTGTCACATATACTCACATCTTTGAGTTAATTTTAATTTAGAAAAGCATTTAGGATTATCCCCTTAATCTGCTTGATTCTTCCCCAAGGAGAAAGGAGAAAGCCTGCTGTCAGAGCTATGGGGGAGATGGCCTTGAACATACTCCTCTGGCCCTGAGGGGAGGATGGGAGCCCTACAGAAGGGGAAGATGATATATGTATATTATTATGGTTTGACCTTATATCTATCTATCTATCTAGGGGTTTGACCTTCTGGTCAGTAACTCATATGGTGTTTATTTGTACTTTTTGGTTCTGGAGCTTCATTGTTGGCATTTATAACTACCCTTTTTATACTAACCTCCCTGATTTGGATTAGTGGTCTCTAATATTTATTTGTTCAGTAAAGAATAAACAAACCATTATGTTATAGTTGAAAGATCAGAATAACCAGAAGCCAGCCTGTCTTCTTAACATGTACTCAAAATGGATTAGAGGGTTTGGGATACTTAGAACAGTTTATTATCCTTATTTGGTTGTCCAGTCTACCTACACGTCCTTCAGAAGGCTACTAGTGGCTCAAATAATTCTTCAATTTCAAAGAATAATTATGTTCTTGAGAGTTATTATAGTAGTAAGGCCTATCAGAGTAATTATTTTCTCCATTACCTCTCTTTTCATGTACTAGCCTCAATATATATCTCAGTTCGTGATATGTGCTGCATTTCTATAAAACTGCTTTGTATTTTAGGTTTTTCATTGTCACGTGAGTCTTCCTCCTAGAAAAGATGGATATTATTATATTAATAAATGTTGGTTTTATAAAAAGAGGTCAAATTTCAGTGGTTCTCTATTGGTGACAGATCTCAATGTAATATTCTAAGCCCTGTACAGCTTGGTTCCCATGCAGCCCATCTGTCTTTTCCCCTTCCCACTCTCAAACATGCTACCTTCATCTACCCAGGCTAGCCTCCTAGCTGTCTGCTAAACATACCATTCTCATTTCTGACTCTCGGCTTTCACTCGTGATCTTCTGTGGGTCTGCTTAGGAATCCTACCTATTCTTTAGTGCTCAGTTGAAACCCCACAAGGCCACTCCAACACACCCCAGCTATACCATAAATTCCCCGAGGCCAGGAACTATGTCTTTTATTTCTTCAGTATCCTCCTCAGTGTCTAGCACATATAGTATATGCTCAAGAAATCCAAATGAATTAAATATTTGTAATGGATTTGCAGAAAGTATACCGACATCTATAGCTTGCTTTGGTTCTCATAAGATATAAATCTGTCTTGCCATTGTGAATACTTTAGAAGCCTGAAAAAGAAACTCCTGTGAACTACTGATAATGTTAAAAACCAGAGTGTTAGCAAAAGTATGGAATGTCCTTAATTTTAAGTGCCTATTCATTTTGATTGCTGGATTTTCCGACTGCCTAACCCTATGGTAACATCTGTATAAATCAAATGTGATTATTGTAATTCTCTTTGAGAGTAATGTCTTCACATTTCCATGCCCACAGCCTGACAAAAATATAGCTGATGAAAACCAGGGGGAATAGAGGAATTTCCTGAAAGGAATAAACAGGCACATTTTCTTTTTCTCATTACATTTCCACAAATTCATTACTACAAATAATTCTTAAAAGCAGTTACATTTACATATCAGAGATCTTGTTATAAAATATTACCTGGTGCTAGAGTAAGCTTTTTGTAATGGTAAAGTGAAATACACACACACATATACACACGCACACACACACACACACACACACACAGGAAGAGAGACTGAGACAGAGAGAGTGAAAGATTGCCAGACAAAGAAAAGGGAGATATGAGACTTGGAGAATGTTCAAAGAAAAGCCACAACAAGAGTTAAAAGGTTGGAAAATTTGATATTCTAGAATCTTATCATAGTTGATTACTTGTCCTTCTTCCTACTCAGTCACTCTGTCATCCGCCCACCTATTCTCACTCAGCCACCACCTCCTCCTAGTCATTTGTCTGCTCACCCACTTGACACCCACTTCTGTCTGCCAAGACAGATACCCTCTCAACTTATCTACCAATGGGCATTTGACTGTTTCTGAACCAGTATGAGTATGAATATAAAAGAAAGAGAAATATCTTTATGAGAGACTGGGTTGAGAGAGGCTGTATTTGCATACATATGTATGTGTCACTATATATGAGTGTGTGTATTTCTGCATGGATGAGAGGCTGAGACTGACTCTGTGTCTGTGTGTCTATGTGTATCTACAAATGCGTATCACTATGTGTGAGGAGGAGAGGGTGTCTGTGTTAATCTCCTGTGGGCGTATCTGTAGATAAGTTGGGTATGAGGGGGCCATGAGTATAACACTTCTCTGTGGTCTCTTAATTGTCCAAGACTTGCTCTTCATTACTTACAATATATATAAATCTGTACGTGTTTTGTGTGTGTATGTGTGTGTGTAAAAAATGCATTTTATTCCATCTCTACTCAAACTGTGTGCTAAAACTCATTAGAACCCCTGTTCTTCTCCCTCCAATAATTATATTGGTGATTCTCTGGCTCTGTTCTCATATAGTATTTTCGGGGCCCTGTGTTGAAAGATATTTTCTATTGTTTCTTAGGTTTAAGAGCAAGTTTAACAAGTGGATA